TGCAAGGAACCAACTCACTACATGTCTAGTAATCTTTGGTAACAAGTAGAATCGATTTTATAGGCGTAATCTTTGTCGATTTGAGATTTCATGTTACCCAGGTTAGAATTTTTGAACCCAGATCAGAATTTTTGACCTTGGGAGGTTCAGAAATTCCAAGCCTGATCGGAAATTCCAAACATGTTATCTACTACAAATTGTATATCTTCAGGAACGCCTATTCACCCCCTCTAGGAGACAACTCAGTCCTTTCAATTGGTATAAAAACTTGGACTCCATTCGAGCTTAACCGTTTGTGAGATATCATGTCTACTTCATGCGAGGTACCGTTTGAGCTACTTCGTAAGGATGGCTTAAATTTCTCTTCTTGGTCATTACATGTTCTCAACATGTTTAGTACCATGGCAATTTTTCAGAGAGTTGTTTACAAGCATTTTGAAAGAGAAATGCTTGCAGCTCAAAGCTCAAGCTATTAATGTGTTGCTGAAAACAATATGTGCAGAGTTTATAGATGATACCATCTTTGGTGAAGGAGAGACAATTGAGGACTCCCATCTTATTTGGACCAACTTGGCAAAAAGTTCGGAACATCCAAATGTGATGATCCTCAAGTCACTAAGGGCACCAAGATTTATGGCACCAAATTAATATTATTAGTTATAATATGAAATATATTTTCATAATTTATTCATTCGTTGTTATAAATATTGTTGTATTTTGCTATAAGATGAAATTTTAAAAAGTTTGACTTAAGAAAAATATCCTCAAGTCACTAAGTCATTTGTTGTATCTTTCAAAAGGTGAGCCCTTAGTTTTCTTAAAGAAAAATATTTGATAGAAACTAAGTTTGGCTCAAAAACTGGATTTTTGCCTTTTGGCTTATGGCTATTGACTTCTTGCTATTGACTTTTGTAATAAGTTTTTAGCTTTTCAGCATACCAAGAGCCTGAAAAATTGTTCTAAACATTAAAGACTTTTAGTTCATTTTCTCAAAAGCTAGCTTTCCAGCTTTTCAAAAGCCAACTCACCAAATGGATTGTTTGTTTCAGCTTTCAGCTGATAGAAGCCAAACAAAAGTTGATACAAACAAGCCCTAGATCCTACTCCACCTCATATACTCGATGTTAATTAGCTGGATTCCAACATAGTAGTTGTAGTCTTCCTATTGACTAAATGATGAATTAAATGGCCGTTTAACCCACTTAACCACGTAAACTTGATTTTATTTAGACTGTTTAGACGGTTTTTAACTGTTTAAAAAAGGGTGTATCTACTGACAATTCGGGTGTTTCAGGAAAGGTGACACCCGAGTGTCACATCTCCTAAAATACTCGATTACAACAAACAAACCCCCAACAAACACTTGATTTCTGTAGCCACTCGTTTCCAATCCGATGATGCAAATAAAATATATCAAATAAATGCAAAAATCAAATAATAAAATAACAAAAAATACCATATAATTATTATAAAGTGCAAATTGGAAGAAATTCAAAGAAAAAGCAAATAAAAATACAAACAACAAATAAAAATACAGAAAAATAACCAGATCATTTCTATGGAAGACAAATTGGAAGATTTCAAAGGGAAACCAAATAAAACATACAGAAGTAATTCTGACCCACTTGAATAATTAATTTACACCAATTAAATATAGAATTTACACCAAAACACAAAGAGTAAAATATGGTAAAAAAAGATGTAATCTGCTTCTACATACTAGATGCATGCAAGGGGCTAGGCTGGGCAAAGTAGCATGCACTCAGCAAAGTAGCCTGCCTTGTGCCTGCGGCCATGCTGAGTGTAGCACATGCAGGGAGCACTGGGGTTCGCGTGGGGACCATGCTGACCTGCAGGAGAGTGAACCGCTGGACCGTTCAGCGTGGGGATCGGCGCCTGCTCAGATGTAACGTCTCGGGACCAGCGCTTGCTCAGATAGAAGCTCTCAAAATACCCGAGCAATATAGCTTTACCGTTAAAAAATGTCCAACTGCTTAATTTACTATTTAGGGACTGAATGATATAGGTTATCTTTGTTTACGTTTAAATACCATTTAAACGGATTAAACAACCGTTTGGACGAATAGTTCTTACATGCATATATATACTCGTTCCTATATATTGACATATGCATTGTCTAAAAAATATATATTGACATATGTACGTACACCTTACGCCCTATATATCTCTGAAAGATTGGGATCGACAAAGTAACCATGTGCAACTCACTGACTACGGGCACATCGACCAACACTAAAAAAAATAATAGTGGCGTTTCATCCTAGTATAAATGAAGAACTTGCACATGTCAGATTTTACTACGACCTTGCCAGCTAAACTACGTTCAATTTGCTGCTTCTTGCAATTTTGGATATGGTATAATTTCTCAACAAGAATAGATGTTAGACATAAAAAAACAAGAATAGATGTTTTTTTTTACGCGAACAGCGCCGTAGCGCAAGTAGTATTAAACAAGAATAGATGTTATTCGTAGCTAAAATTTGTTTGGAACTTCGGATACTTAGAAGCATATAAACCAAAACAATCATAGAAACTGGAGTATATATATATGTATATATTTGTTGCGAACCCTACCAGAAAGTTGGAACGCGAAGAAATCAAGGTATCAAAGTTTCATGGTAAATTCATTCCATTGTCGGTACTCGGTAGCCTTTTCTGTCTTAGGAAGTTGGAACGCGATGCCCTTCTTTTTGAACACAATACGCGATGCTTTTTTTTTTATATAGTAGACCCCGAAAGCACTGAGATGTGAATCACAATCACGGGCGTCGCAGCCCTCTTGCGTCTCGTCGTCGGTCAGTCGTTTTCCACCGAAACCAAACGAAAACCAAAGCCGGGTTAAAAGTTTCCCCGCCGATCTCAATACGCCATTGCCATGGCCCACGAGCGCCAGGAGCCCATGAGGCCTCGAGAAGTCTCGACACCAATGTTTTAAATAGCGAGCTAAAGCGTTTAGCGGTATATCTCTAAAACAGCTAATAGCGGAGTTATATCGAGCTATAGCGGCTAAATTGTATAGAAACGCAAATAGCGGCACCCTGTCTCAAAAGACTATAGCGGGTTATAGCGACAGCTATAGCTAAACTATGCTCGACACGAGGGGGGGACCGGTCAATCAGGGAGGAGAGCAGGCGCACGGGAGTTTGGCGGCTTCCCGATCGATGCCCGCCCGGGTTTCCACAGTGGAACAGTATTATACCGACGACGACGACCTCAAATTCCCCAACACTCTCACTCTCCGTTCCGGCGGCGTCCGATGCACGTCAACCCAGTTGTTTATTACCGACATTCTCCTTTACCCATGGCGATCGTCGTGCCCTGGCGCGCCGCGCTGACCATGCCAAATGGCGACATCTCAGGCTCTCAGCTATAAACTTCGCCGAAAACCAACGCCCTCCTCCAGAGGCTGCTCCCGGGCCATCCCCGGCCAGATCGCTGATGCATTCCACTCCATTGAGAGGCAAGGTGTCAACCAGCCGGCCATGCCGTCATGTCATGCTACCAATCTGCGGAGCTCGAGCTTGCACAGGACGATTTCACTCCAGTTCCACGTCCGGCTCCGGCCGGCCGAGAGAGTTACTGCCGTGCGCGCCTGGTGAAGGAACGAACGAACGATGCAGCAGGGCGCAGGCAGCTGCAGCACACGTTGAACGGATCCGGTGACAGGGACGCGGTCGATCCCCGCTACGCTATTCGTGGCTCCGCTCGTCAATCCGCACGCTCGCACACCTTTTTATTAGAAAAAAGCCGTATGGAAAGCGGAGCTGTCAGGATTATGCCACCGGCCGGGGTTGGTACGGCTCCGTCGTCCTGGAGTTTCTACGGGGGAGTTCGTCAGGTGATTGGAATAGCCGGGTGGGTGCCCAGTCCTGGGGCAGTTTTGAAAGTGACGACGAGGCTTATTAGCTGTTTGTTCCCTCCAAGCAACTCCCTCCATCGCTTCTTCAGCTTGGACTTTCGTGGCATCTATTCGTTGTAGGGATCTACTACTACTGGCGCTGCGACGACCGCCTTGTCCACGATTCAGAAAGCTTTTCTGGTACGACCAGATGAGCATATATACATGTCTGGTTGAGAATATTGAACACTGGGGATATGGATAATTCAGCATTGTACAGTGCAAAAGCAGCCCGCCGAGCCGAGCCGAGCATCGAAATCAGGGAGCAGATCGACAGTTTTTTTCCCCCAAGACAAACACGTCACAGCGCAATGCAAGTTGGTGAACCATTTGAGTTGGATCGAAGGCATCCAGCTCCGTCGCGCTGTTTTAAACTAGTGTTGACCCCCTCGGATCCTTACAAGCCTGCCCCCGTCGCAGCGAGCACGGGAAACGCCGCCGCCAGCACAGGCACCCTTCGCAGTCGCACAGCCCTGGCGGTGCCGCACGCGCACCCAGGGGCGTAAGAAAACTTGCACGAGGGGGCGATCCGATTTCCCAGCCTGAAAGCTGGGGTTCAACTCCCATTCGTGCGCCTTGGACTGTCTCGGATGGTTGTCTCACGTGTGCACCTATATCCAAATTAGGTCTCAAATAGTATTATATTAGTCTTCAAGAGAGCACCTATATATAAGACTTATTTTGGTTTACAGTAAATATATAACCTAAATATGCTCCTCTCTCCTATCTCTCCTAGAGACTTATTTGTAGAAAGAGTTCTTTGTTGGGTCTTCTTGTTGGAGAAGACCAAAAAAGTACGGAACTCTTTACCTATAGCGCTACTCCAAACATGAAATGAGTCTTGTATTTTGGGTAAATGAAATAAGTCTTGTATTTTGGGTAATATCGTTGTAGATAGCCTCAATTGTACCCTTTTGCACGCCTCCCTATGTTACTTCGTCCCACACTCCACGCGCGTTCCTGTATAATACTCTGCCACCGCTGCTGGAGGCTGCTACGGTACGGTGCTGCTACCTAACCGCCGGAAGGGAAGGCTTGGAGTTCGCCGGGCCGGGCCGAGCTGCTGCCGGTGCTTGTCGCGATGAAGCTGGTGATGGGGGTGGATTTGGAGACGGAGGTGGAGCTGTCGCCGGCTGCCAAGTCGGAGGTGGCCGTGTTTAGCCCCTACTCCAGCCCGAGCACCGCCTTATTGCTGCAGAGGAGAGTTGTGGCATGGTATGTCTGCTTCAGCTTGAGAGCTTCTTCACCCGTGTCCATGGCAGACTCATCACAGCTCTGTTGATGCAGGTCCAAGGAGACCGGGTCTCCGGCGACGGTCCGCGTGCGCCTCGGTGACAGAAGCTTCGACCTGCACAAGGTAAGAGCGAGCTTGCTGGAAATTTGTCATCTTGTTTTGATCGAGGGGCAGATTAGCAAGTTTGTGTCGCCGATGGCAGGATCCTCTGGTGTCCAAGTGCAAGTATTTCAGCGAGGCGTCGGCGTCGCTCCAGTCCGGTGACGACGATGTCGAGCTGCCGGCCAGCTTCCCGGGGGTCAGCGAGGCGTTCGAGGCGATCGCGCTCTTCTGCTACGGCGACGCCGTGGCGCTGGACCCCTTCAACGTGGCGGCGGTGCGGTGCGCGGCGGAGTTCCTGGGCGTGGCCGGCCTCGGCGCGCGCTGCGACCTGTACATCAACCAGGTGGTGCTGCAGAGCTGGGACGACGCGCTCATCGTCCTGCAGCGGTGCCAGCCCCTGCTCCCGGTCGCCGAGGAGCTCCTCATCGTCAGCCGCTGCGTCGAGTCGCTGGCGTTCATGGCGTGCATGGAGATCCTCGACCCGGAGGAGCAGCGGCGGGACCTGCAGCCCGGCGCCGGCGCCGCGACGCGCGCGCTGGTCGGACGCCGCTGGGACGCCGAGCTCGTCAAGGAGCTCGCCGCGCGCGACCTCTGGATCAAGGACCTGATCGCGCTCCCGTTCGACTTCTTCCAGCGGATCGTGCAGGCGCTGCGGCGGCAGGGCATGAAGGAGAAGTACGTCAGCCCCGTCGTGCTCTTCTACGCCAACAAGTGGGTGCTCTCCAAGAAGACGCACAAGTTCTGGGCCTCCACGGACGAGGCCGTCGACGGCGAGACCGACGCCAACAGGAGGGCCGCTGCGATCCTGGAGGGCGTCATCGGGCTGCTCCCGGCCGAGTCGGCGGCAGTGGCTGCGGGCGGCGCCATCCCTGTGGCGTTCTACTTCGCTCTGCTGTCGCGATCGCTAACCCTGGAGCTGAGCGACGAAAGCCGGACAAAACTGCGAGAACAAGTCGCGTCGAATCTGCAATTCGCTCGCGTGGACGACCTGCCGCTGCCGGAGGAAGAAGCCGACCGGTCCATCGCAGATAGCAGGGAGGTGAGGGAAATGGAGAGCATCGTGTCAAACCATGCCGCCTCCGTGCAAAGGAAAGGCGCGGAGGCCGTCTCCGAGCTGTGGGATCGGTACCTCGTGCAGTTCGCTGGCGATCCGAAGCTCCGGCCTGAAAGGCTAGCTGAGCTGATCGGAGTCATTCCGGCCGGCGACCGGAAGACGCACAACCACTTGTATGAAGCAATCAACACATATTTAGTGGTAAGACAGGTGTTCAATGCTCGATCGATCATGCCCACGACTGTGACGTGTTTGAATTTTTTTGCTGACAAAGAAGAGGATGCCAATTTTGCCATGCTGCAGGAGCATCGGGGTTTGTCCGGGGAGGAGAAGGCGACGCTGTGCAGCCACCTGGATTGCCGGAAGCTGTCACACGAGGCGTGCATCCAGGCCGTGCAGAACGAGCGGATGCCGCTCCGGCTAATCGTGCAGGCGCTGTTCGTGCAGCAGCTGCACACGCACCGCGCCTTCACGGAGTGCTCCGACTCGTTCCGGTGCATGCACTCCAGGGAGCTCGTCCCGGGCGCCGGCGGGTACACGCCGAGCCCCGGGTGCCCCGCCATCCCCACCAGCCAGCCCCTCAGCAGCAGCAGCCCGTACGATAGCCACCGCGGCCCGCGCGACGCGAAGCTCCGCGCCCGCGACGACGCGTCGGACTACGAGACGGCCAGCTTCCGGATCCAGGCGCTGGAGCAGGAGATCATCTCGCTGAAGCAGACCCTGCAGCGGCACAACACTCTCACGGGCTCGGCCTCGGCTCGCAGGGAGAGGGAGGGCAAGGAGCCGAGCTTCAGGGTCGCTGCGGACGCGGGCACGCCGGCGATCATCAAACGCCGAGCCACGGTCTCCGGCAGCTGCATCGGCTCCATGCGCTGGGGTTCGCAGCGCCGGTGCGCGAGCAGGATCCTGCGCGTCTTCGCGAGGATAGCCGTGTTCGGGAGGGGTAGGTCGAGGGGGAAGCAGAGCAAGTGCAGCGCAGCAACAGAGCAGCCGAATTGCATGTAGAACAGTACAAGTATAAGCACACGTGAGGAGAAAATCAAATCATTTACTTGTGGAATAGAAAGTGCAGATGTTACGGTAGATTTGGGAAGCATGTGTTGTAAGCAGTGGTTTTGTGTGTACATATTGCTAGCAATGTCAAATATCTGAATAGGTAGTTACTGTCAGGTGGTCATTCAGTGCTTCAATAGAAACTCAAACGCTCGAAAGCTCAGTACTTTGTTTAGTCAAAAAAAAGAAGCAAATGACTTTGTTAGGTTAGCAACTCTGAACATCTGAATTGTTTATGCGACGCGAAAATTTTAGGTCTTGTTTGCATCTTGGTCTTGGAAAATGGTGTTTCTCATGCTCTTGCGAAAGTTTAAAAAAAAAAAAATTAAACGGCAGGAGCGCTACCATACTATTTAAGGAGAAGAAGGCGGCATAGTTTTACAAAAAAGAAAAAGAAAAATAGATAAACCATGACACACATTCTCAGTAATTGAGCCAACTAATCTACCCAAGGATGTCCACACGCACGCCTCCTGAGATCCATCTTCTCCTTGATCAAGCCAAACACTTGATACGCGAAAGCGTCCTTCCATCAAAGATTCTCCGATTTTGCTGTTCCAGCTTTGTATACATGAGGAAGTCCGCGATAGTTCTTTGTTGATTGGAGTATATTCCTTGCAGCACTGAGGCACACCATTCCTCTACAGAAAGATCGTTACTAGCCGGCATGAGAAGTGTACATCCTACCCATGAACTCGATAGTCCAAACCTCCTTGCAAATGGACAACAAAGGCAAAGATATGTCGCTGTTCTAGGCCCCTGAACACTTAAGACACACAAAGGGTTGCAGGGCCAATTTAACTTGGCAATTTATCAACAGTTAGAATCTTTGCTTGAACAAGGACTGGGCGAACAATTTGTGCTTTCCTTCAGCAACCACCTTCCTAACATATTTTGCGTTGAATATTTATCCAGACAAACGTTTAGTGTCTTGAAAGGTATCTTTTAGCTCATTGAAATTGAGGTCTGGCGTTTTGCCAGGAGTGTGAAACTAGGTTATACTACTAGAATTTGAGAGTTGCTTGAAACGTGAAAAGATTAGAGTAAGCATTTAGTTGCCACAAAGTAGGTCAATATGGCACATCTAAGGCCCCGTTCAGTTGCCAAAAAATTTTGCATAGTAACTGTCACATCGATTAGAGACTTAAAGTGAGACGAAAAAAAAAACTAATTACACAGTTGATCGAGAAATCACGAGACGAAACTTTTGAACCTAATTAGTCCATAATTAGATACTAATTACCAAATACAAACGAAATGCTACAGTGAGCCAAAATCCAAAATTTTTTGGATCTAAACGCACCCTAACTGCTGCCGAACTGGAAGGTCGTCCAGAGAGAGAGAGAGAGAGAGAGAGAGAGAGAGAGAGAGAGTAACGGAGTTGCAAGTGAATTAGCCTATAAGAACCATTGGAGTTGCAAGTGAATTAGCCTATAAGAACCATTCATACAGCGGCATCGTTAAGGCCAGTTCTCTATTACTCACAAATCATGATTGTAGCCCATGTGGCCGTTATCATGGGGTGACATGGGCGGACTTGATACCCAGTGTCGCCACCTCTCGTCTCCTCGCATCCTCGTTGCACCGCCACAAGAGGCTCGTGTGGCAGCTAGGATGGCATTGGCGACGGAGGAGGGGGCACTTTCGCCTAGGGCATCTTCTTCTCGGCTCCTCCTCGAGTTTCTTTTTATGCTTGTGGTCTTTGATATATGTGTACAGAAAGTCTTGGCCCGATAGCTCATCCCAAAGCACTCCTTTTTGTCCGGCACGAGCACGACATGGGTAACACCGTAAATCATTTACTAAAGCATGTCACGAGCATCATGTTTATGTGTTAATATATGTAATAAAGTGTGTGGATCAATTTCCATAACTCAAAGCGATCAACAAAAATACGAAACGAAAGTTGATTCAATGGTCATGTTATATCACTTAAGCTTGAAAACCAATTTTTATTAAGCAAAAATGCTATAGAACACATATGTGTCACCTTAATAAAGTTGGAGGTACAAACTTTGTAAATGACAGTGAAATACTTGCGGTCGAAAAATGATATTACTATCTAATATTTCCGCTAGCTTAGAAATCATAACTGGAAATCTAACTCAGCTCAAAAACTTAGAAATTTTCAAGTCTGTCAACAGTTAGACATTACTATGTTTAGCAATTTATTGTGAGAGATTGGGTTAAAGAGTGGTGTAGTGTTATAGCTCGATTTGGTAGTCTCATGTGCCATCTTGAGTATGGTGAAGATGGTTTAGGTCCCAAAGCAACCGTTTGGTCGTGTTGAGCGCTTTAAAATTTGTGTGTGTCACTGTCTCGGGTTGGTTGGCGTCGGTTGCACGGTCACTGCGCGGCCTCCTCACGCCGCGCACATGGTCGCGCCTCGCGCTGTCGCTCTGCGCCGCCGCAGCGAGCCGTTGGCCCCGCGCCCTGCTGCTCTGCCTCGCGCTACCGTTTGGGTGCCACCGCGGCCGCACTGCGCTGCCGTCACGTTCGCACTGCCGACCTTTCTCGTGTCGCGACGCTGTCGCTACCGACGCCACAGCGATGCTGTGCTGCGCTGCCACTCGCCTTGTCCTAGCACACACGTGGGCTGTCTCGGCTGCCCCATGCCGCGCCCCCACCTGCCTCCGCGCGCACGTGGTTGCCCCGCAGTGTTGTGTAGCGGGTGCGCAGACGCCGCCTGAGGTCCGGTCGGCCGCGTCCTGCCAGGGCGTGGACGAGCCGAGCCCAGTTGTCGCGCCGTGTCTTTCTTTTCCTCTTTCTCCCTCTGTTTTCTGCCACCATCGAGTCGCGTCACGGTGAGCCAGAGAGCGAGCACCTCTCATCAGTTCCTCGTGCTCGCGTCTCCGCCTTCACGTCCCCTCTCCAACCGACCCCACCCCGCCTTGATTATGGCCAGGTCGAGCTCCAATTTTTGGAGCTTTGCCCGTGTAACACCATCGGTGTTACACTGTACAATTTTTGCTAAAACATTGCATATGCATCATGTTTATGTGATAGTGTACGAAATATAATGTGTAAATAAATTCCTGTGACTTGAAATGTTTATTGAAAACGCGAAACGGAAGTTATATTTTATGTCGCGTTATATCGCTTAGAGTTCTAGACGAATTTTTAATGAACAGAAATGCTATAGAACGCATACCCGACACTTTAATAAAGTTTGTGGTACCAACTTCGTAGGTGGCGGTTGTTGTGCACGTGGACGCCTAAGAGGGGGGGGTGAATTAGGCAACTTAAAAATTTAACTCTAAACTATGGCCTCTTTTTCTACCTCTAGCAAAACCTATGCAAAAGATAATCTATCTAGATGTTCAACTACGGTTTTGCTAGTGTGTTGCTATCTCTACCGCAAATGATAATAATAAGATCAATGTAAATGCGGAAGCTTAAAGAGCAAGGTAGAGATATGCAAACTCCCGTCGACGACTCTGGTATTTTTACCGAGGTATCGAGAAGCGCGCAAGCTTCCCCCTAGTCCTCGTTGGAGCCCCTCGCAAGGAATCCCTCGCAAGGGCCAAGCTCCCGGTCGGGTAACTCCGTGGATAGCCTCGGGCCTTCCCCACGCGCAAGTGGGTCTCCGATGTGCCTTCCTGCAAGCCTCTCCGGATGCTCCCCGCCGTCTTCACTATCAAGCTTTCGGCCGAAATGTCGCGGGCCTTGTTCCCTTCGATACGGTGGCGGTCGCACCACAAGCGTGGTTGGTGCGATCTCGCAAGACTTCAAGCCCCTCCGATGTACAACTCTTGTGCTCGCAAGCAGCGGGTGGCAAGAGGTATGCAAACCTCACTAAACACTAGGCATACACCTAGAGCAAGCGCACAAGCGGTGGTCTAATCAACCTAAGCACTTCGCAAAGCACCTACGCTAATCACCTGATGAAACACTAAGCATTTAGCAAGTGGAGATCACTAAAATGATGTATCAACACACTTGGTATGTTTCCTCAGCTCCACATCCTTCAAATGGCCGGTTGGGGGTTGTTTTTATAAGCCCCACTGAGAAAGTAGCCGTTGGGGTCGAACTCCCATAAATCTACCATCGACCGGACGCTGAATCGTCTGGCCGGACGCGTCCCGTCGTCTCCGACTCGTAGTAGCCGCGAACTACCGATCGGGCCTTTGCCGGCGTCGATCGTCGCTACCGCCACCGGACGCGTCCGTCGTAGTTTTCGCGCTCTGGAACCTCTCTCGTACTTTCGATCGGACGTTGCGTTCCTGCGTCCGGTCGGTTGCCGCCAGCGTCTGGTCCTTGCGTCCGTCGTCTTTGTCTGCTGAAAACCACCGGTCCGGCGGTCCGGGGTCCAGTCCGGTGTCCGGTCGCCTCGCCTCGAGCTTCGTTTCTTCGCGATCTTGCGCGCGGCTTGGTTCCTATCTTCATGCTTGGACTTTGCTTGACATCTTGGGTCTTTTCTTGTGCTTCTAAGGTCTTGCTTGAGGTGTTGATCATCAGATCATCATGTCGCCTTTCGTCCAAGTCACGTCTTGCACCCTATTGGACTACAAAACAAACACTTGCAAATTCATTAGTCCAATTTGGTTGTGTTGGTCATCAAACACCAAAATCCAAAGTAAATGGGCCAAGGGTCCATTTTCCTTACAATCTCCCCCCTTTTTGGTGATTGATGACAACACGACCAAAGCAAGCAAATGATAAAAACTTTAAATTTAAAATTATCTACTTGCTAGGATGCAATGCAAAGGCAAGGTTATATGATATTAATTGATAGATACCAATTAAAACTTTACTCAAAAACATGTCTTGCCCTTGCAAATGTCCCCATGTGATATTATGGATTAAAGCCTATCTTTCTAAAAAAAATTCTCCCATTACATAGACTAATCCATAATTCACTTTCCTCCCTTTCTCGTACCATTACCACTTGTAGATATCAACTTGATGCTTGCCTTTGGTCCTTCAAATTCTCCCCCTTTGGCATCAAACAC